CCTATGATGTGCTATTGAAGGGCCCAAAAAGTATCATTCCTTAGATCATTTATATGTTTTGAGATCTATGCCTATATGTGAAATCTTCTTCTTTTTGATATCAACTTCTCTGTTCAGCTTTAAAAAGGGATAAGTACTGTTTGGCAAAATATATATATATCCATAGGTATTAGTTTGATGTAGCAAATATGTTTGGCCAGTGTTTCCCCTCAAATATAAGATCATTGTTGCAGTTAAATGGCTTGAGCATCAGTCAACATGGCCAGCAACTTTCTTCTTCACTTCATCTTCAGCAGAGAAATGAAAGCTCTTTTGATGACCGTAACAAAGCCCCTATTACATCATCTATGGATGTAAAACCACTTGTATCTTCTGTGGTGCAACCCTCAATTCCCTTAACTGATGCTTCTAGCATTCAGAAGGTATGCGTTGTAACTCCCTCATCAGTTGTTTACTTCCCCTGGTGACTTCTAATATTATTGTTGAAATTTCAGCCTCAGAGTGCAGTCAGCGTTGCAATGCTGTCCACTTCCCCTGGTTTTGTTCGTGCTTCTCGTGGAGCTACTTCTACTAGTAATTATTGGATTATCATTGCTTGATTTTTATGTCTTTCTTTATGCTTTTTTTTTTAATAAACATTTTTACTTCGGTCTTTTTTGGAGCAGATGATATAGTTGTGCATATACTTACAAAGCATGTTTCTGTTACAGGGTTTGGCTCTGCTTTGAACATTGAAACATTAGTTGCTGCTGCTGAGAGAAGGGAGACTCCCATAGAGGTGTTCATTTAAGCTTCATTGAAATTGAATTAAACATTTTGGCATGATATCCATGCATATTTCCTTTCCAGTGATGAGATTTCTATTTCAAAAAACCAATGATTTCTAGAACACTTTATTGTTGTGGAGATCATCTTATTGGAAGGCCAGTGTGGCTACTACTTATACTGCATGTATCTCATAGCTGTTGTTTTGTACTTCTACTTGGGACAATATGGGAATTTGGCTTGTAGTAATCATATAATTCTGAGCTATTTAATTATAGGTGGCAATTTTAGATTAATTTGGTAAGTTACTGAGCGAAAATGTTAAGTTACCTTTTTGAGGGAATTAGAAAGAGAGCAAGATCTCTTGCATTACTTTGGTCGACGCCTCTAAGTGCAAATTTTAAGCCATATTGATTATCATGGAATGTCTTGGTAGGTTGCACACTATTTATTCTTCAAATATTTTCAGTCTAGTTTATACCTCTCTTGATGATAGGAAAGGAATATTAAATTAATTTAGAAGTTCTCTAGAAGAAGGCCAAAGGTAGACCGGTAGAGAAGTTGACAGAAATTTTAAAGTAAATTTTCTGCTAGCCTGGGTCTTTCATTGGCATCTAATCCAGTGATACTCTTGGGAGATGTTGAAATTGACATAGCTTAAGATGTCATCTAGTTGGGGTTATGATTACTGTGCTTTGATGTTTTACCACACAGGATGTTGTTTGTTTACATTTGCTGTGTGGTTGATCCTTTGGTTCATCTACATTCTGTTTACAGGCTCCGGCATCAGAGGTTCAAGACAAGATATCATTTATAATTAATAATATTTCTTCTGCAAATATTGAAGCTAAAGCAAAAGAATTCACTGAAATCTTCAAAGAGCTTTACTATCCCTGGTTTGCTCAGTATATGGTCATGAAAAGGTCAGACACAGTATGATTTCTATTGTGTGTGCCAATTTGTTTCTTTGCAGTTTTGTACGGTACTTATGCTTGTCACACTAGAAACTGTGTTTTCATTATTGAGTTTTATTTATCTTTCCTGCTCATCTTCATGACATACTCAACTTTATGTTCTGCCAACTCTCTCAGAGCAAGCATTGAGCCAAATTTTCATGATTTGTACTTAAAGTTCCTGGACAAAGTTAATTCAAAGGCTCTGAATAAGGAGATTGTCCAAGCTACCTACGAGAATTGCAAGGTTTATGTTGTTTAACTTATATGACTATGTAACAATACCAAGCTAGGTTAAAAGAAATTTTAACAATATAGATCTTCTTCTTTTAGGTTCTCTTGGGATCCGAGCTTATAAAATCAAGCTCAGAGGAGCGGTCATTGTTAAAAAATTTGGGTAGCTGGCTTGGGAAGTTAACTATTGGTAGGAATCAGGTTTTGAGGGCTCGTGAAATAGACCCAAAGTCTTTGATCATAGAGGTATTTCTTCTCATGCATTATTATTTTTTTAGCTAATTATGCCTCATTCTTATATGAAAGATTTGCTATTAGGACCATATGGTGCATTTCGTGGTCTAACACTCAGTTTTAATTGGTTCTCATTTGTCTTGATTTTGCGTCTTGGCAGGCATATGAGAAGGGGTTGATGATTGCGGTGATCCCATTTACTTCTAAGGTATGATTGTTCTTATGATCACTAGTTGTTTCCTTCTCTGTAGTTATCTGATAGTTACATTCTACCATTTGTTGCAGATTCTTGAACCGTGTCAAAGTAGTCTTGCATATCAACCTCCTAATCCCTGGACTATGGGTATTCTAGGATTATTGTCTGAGATCTATTCGATGCCAAACTTGAAAATGAATCTCAAATTTGACATTGAGGTAAATGCCTATATTTTTTGAAACCTATGAAGACATCTTTCTTTTCATTATCAGATCTTGCCCATCTGTGGTTGGTGTTCTATTAAGCTATATGTCACTGTGTTCTTTTTGGTGTTTTAGGTTCTATTCAAGAACCTTGGTGTGGATATGAAGGACATAACACCAACTTCTCTTCTCAAGGATCGGAAGAGAGAAATTGAAGGAAATCCTGATTTTTCTAATAAAGATGTTGGAGTCTCCCAGCCTCAGATGGTTGCTGAAGTTAAATCAGGAATAATTTCTCCACTAAATCATGTTGAGCTGCCTCTTGAGGTTGCCAATCCACCTAATTCTGGTGGCCACACACATTTATTATCACAGGTTTGTCTTCATCTGATATTTTATCATTCTTGTAAGCTGTTTATTACATTTCTTTCATTCCTTTCTTGTTATGGTTCTAGTATGCTCCGCTGCGTCTTTCTTCTGGCACATTGATGGAGGATGAAAAACTAGCAGCATTAGGCTTGCCTGATCAGCTTCCATCCGCCCAAGGGCTGTTTCAAGCTACTCCTTCCCAATCTCCTTTTTCTGTAAGTCAGGTGCGTTAATATTTTATTCATTCTTCAATGTTCTGAAAATTATTAGTTTTCTTGTTTATTGAATGGCTGATTACCCTGTTATTTGCAGCTTTCAACACCAATACCTAACATTGGAACTCATGTTATTATCAATCAGAAGCTAAGCACCTTGGGCTTGCACTTGCATTTTCAAAGGTTTCATTCTATTTCCATATTAATCATTTCCTACTTATTAAATATGTTCTTGTTACTTTGATGGTTAACTCTTTCTAGTTGGTATATTACAGAGTGGTTCCAATCGCGATGGACAGAGCTATCAATGAGATTGTGTCTGGTATTGTTCAACGCAGTGTTTCCATAGCTACTCAAACAACAAAGGAGCTTGTCTTAAAGGTTTGCCAAGGCCACTTGTCCTCACTGTCTATTTAATTGAATCCATCAAAGTAAAATTCATGTTTTAATATTAGAACATTTCCTTCTCTGATATTAGCCTTATTAGAGTTTCAGTTTAATTCCCTTCTATCTTTATTTGAAAATTTTGCATACTAAAGAAGATTTTCCATGTATTTAGTCTATTGATTATTCAAGCTTCTCTCTAATATGTTGTACAATTATCTCCAGCTTATTATTCCTATTGGAAAAAGAGTTTCCATGGGACATATCTCAGAATTGTAGATGACCATCCTTTTACAACTTTTTTGATCACTAAACTTAGTTGCTGATCATTCTTTAACATCTTAAATGTAGGATTACGCCATGGAGTCAGATGAGACACGGATATATAACGCTGCACACTTGATGGTTGCAAGTTTGGCTGGAAGTCTTGCTCATGTAACATGCAAGGTTTTGATTCTTTTCAAGCTACTCAATACTCATAATATTTACTTGGTTTACTTATTTCTTTTCAAATGCATTTTTAAGTTCTATAGTATAATCTTTACCTTATAAACTTTTATCATTTGGTGTTTGATTACTTTAATGGTTTCCTAGGAACCCTTGCGTGGTTCTATATCAAGTCAACTGCGGAGTACACTTCAGGGTCTAAATGTTGCAAGTGACCTGCTAGAACAAGCTGTGCAACTTGTTACTAATGATAACCTTGATCTTGGCTGTGCAGTCATTGAACAGGCTGCTACAGATAAGGTTAGTTGTTGATCTTTTAAATATTTTGTGCTTTGTGAGTGTTGTTGATTGATAGATACTACCAGCATTGAGGTATCTATGCACATAGTTTTATGTTTATTTTCTCACTCTTTTGTTGATTAGTGTGGTGTAATCTCTCATATCTTTCTATTTGTTGATTAGTGTGGGGTTCTCTACCAGTCTTGCTTTTTGGGAGATAAAATGTTTGGTGATGTGACTTTCACTGCTCTTCTATTGTTTATGTTTTCATTTTCTCTCCCTAAACATGTAGGCAATACAAACCATTGATGGGGAAATAGCACAACAACTTACCTTAAGAAGAAAGCATAGAGATTCATCATTCTTTGATCCTAACATGTATGGACAAGGTTCAATGGGTATTTTACCTGAGGCTCTCCGACCAAAACCTGGGCACTTGTCTTTGTCACAACAGCGAGTTTATGAGGTAGACATTTTCTAACCATTTGTTATTCTGAGGTTTGTTTTGATCCTCAGACGCTTAACTTTGCTTCTTTCTGCTGCCCTACCATATTCTGTTTTCCCTTTTCAGGATTTTGTTCGGCTACCGTGGCAAAACCAATCTAGCCAGAGCACACATGCAGTGTCTGGTGGTTCTTCAAGTGTACCTGGTGAATCTGGTTTGACTGGCACATTTGGTTCAACAGCAGGCCAAGTTATTCCTGGTTACTCTTCCAGCCTAGGAATTGGAAACTCTGGACTAGTGGATGTTGGTTCTGAGGCCATTGAATCTACATCAACTACTTTACTGAGGTGTTTATTTTTATCGTATGCTACCTCAGTTCTTTCAATTCTCTAAAACTTTCATTTCTGCCCTGTATAAAATTTCTCTATGTTACAGTGCGTCCCCAATTCAAGTTGGTGCAGTAGCTAATCTTGCCCAGCAATCCACTGAAAATGACACACTCAATGCTGCATTTTCGTCAACAACTTCAGCCTCTGACTTACATTCACCACATACTGCTGATGTTGTAAAAGTGCATCCCCAATACATCCAAGCTCTTAAATTAACACAGATTTAAAGTTCCTTCTGACAGACTTCTTAATTTTTATGCTAGGAATCAACTGCATCACAGCCATCATCTTTATCATCTTTACCAGCTGCCACTGAGCGCCTTGGAAGTAGTATCTCAGAAGCTTCACTGAGCACAAGGGATGCATTAGATAAATATCAGATTGTTGCACAGAAGGTTGCAAATGAGTCTTGCTTCTGCCTTTTACATAATGTCCTTCACTCATGTTTTTGTGTTTTGATATTCATCATTACCTCTTTTTTATTTTTTATGTTCCTTCTTGGTTCATCAAAGCTTTGTGGCAATTCATAATTTGTAATAAAATGGTCTAAAAATTTGTCTTTCACACTGCTGAGAAATCTGAAGGGAAGATCCTGGCATGGATCCATTGGTTCTCCTTAATGGCTGTATAGGGAGAAGACTCACCCTTAGAGCTGTAGTCTTTGCCTTGTCACTGTTTTCTATCCTCTCGAGATTGAATTCTGCCATCATTAGTTGAGATCTCGTTTTATTTTTCTTGTCACTAATTCTTGGAAAAAAATTTTCAGTTGGAAACTTTGGTGACGGGTGATGCCAGGGAATCTGAAATTCAGGTAGTTGTTTTGCCTCTTTGATTTCTTCTATATCATGGATTTTTTTTCCTCAATATATCATTACTATGTACTAGGAGCTTGTTTGGTTTGTGGGGAGGGTAGAGGGGATTTGTTTGTCCAATCAAATTAAGATATTGGCCAAGGTCCTAATTTGATTGGATGAAAAAAATCTTCCATCCTCTCAAAGAAAATCAGCCTTTTGATTCTGGTATACTTTTTTCATAGTTATTAATTCAAATTTTATTACAGTACATTGTTTACAACCGAAACATATTCTTATTTCTTGATCTATTTGTGTTAGGGAGTGATTTCTGAGGTTTCTGAAATCATACTCAGATGTGTAAGTCGAGATGAGGCTGCTTTAGCTGTTGCTCAAAAGGTATATTGGCTGTTCAGGGCAACATTTCCAGGACAACATTTTTTTAAGTATGCCTCTCACTCTTTGTTTCTCAATTGTCATACAGGTTTTCAAAGGTTTATATGAGAATGCATCAAACAGTCTTCATGTTAGTGCCCATCTTGCTATTCTGGCTGCTGTCCGTGATGTCTGCAAGCTTGCTGTTAAGGAGCTCACTAGTTGGGTATGCTCTTTTTAGTGCTATTGTCTAAGGAAGATCTGGCTTATAAAGCCTTGTCCTATTGGTTGAAAATTACAATGCTTTATTACAGTCAGGGTTGTTGCATTTAGTTTATGTGAGGGAGACATATTTCCTTTATTTATTGATATGGGAAATAGTTTTTCTTACTTCCATGAATTATTTTATTGTGTAAGTTAAATTTGCTAGCCTAGTTTTCTAGTACTTGGCTCCATTGACAATAATGGAAATGATTAACTAACGGCAGTTATGTGGGGCTTAATCTAGATAGTAACATGACAATATTCTTATTAAGAGCTGGGCTTGACGAATTTTTATTTTTATTTTTATATTTATATATTTTTTTTTTGTGTGTTTGTGGCATGCTTTGCTTCCTCTACTTTCAATAAGATTAGCTAATTTAGTTTCTTATGTGTCTGAGGTGGTCTTTTGTTGGGGTCTGTACTCTGTATGTCATGATTTTTGCACTGTTTTCATGCAGGTGATCTACTCAGATGAGGAGCGCAAGTTCAACAAGGATATCACAATCGGCCTTATTCGAAGTGAATTACTAAACCTTGCAGAGTACAATGTGCAGATGGCAAAACTTATAGATGGCGGAAGAAATAGTATGTATAAGAAATCTCTTTTACATAATTGATTCATGAAGTCATTTTACCAAGTTTCTGAAATATTATGCAGAAGCTGCAACTGAGTTTGCTATTTCCCTGCTACAAACTTTGGTCTCTGATGAAAGCAGAGTCATCTCAGAACTCCACAATCTTGTTGATGCACTGGCAAAGGTTCCACTTCTTGTTTCTCACTCCCTCTAGTCTCTGTGTTTCTGTCCCTACTAAATGAAAAGATTGTGCTGATTCTGACTCTTTTTTTAACTTTTAGCTTGCTGCCAAACCTGGGTCTCCTGAATCATTACAACAGTTGGTTGACATGATCAGAAATCCTTCCTTGAATTTGGCTACTTTATCTGGTGCAACTCTTGGAAAAGAGGATAAGGCTAGGCAATCTAAGGACAAAAAGGTCAATTAATTATTCATGGTGTGCCCATTCAGATTTTGGTGTTTTTCTGTTTTCTTCTGTTAACAATCTTTCTTGCTGTTGGGTAGGCTCCTGGTCACTCCATGGCAAATAGGGAAGATAATAGCAATATGGAAACTCAGGAACCAGATCCTGCTGGTTTCAGAGAGCAGGTGATGTTAAATAGCTGCTGCTTTCTCTATTTAATGTATTAATTTATTTAGTTCATTTTTGAGTGCTAGGTAAGGTTGTGTGGCATTTGACCAGAACTAGTAGAAAATACTGTAAACTAAGCATAATACAGTTACTTTCTGGCCTCCTTCAAGTGTACCAAACTGAGAACCAAGTAATCTAAAAATAAGATTGAAAAGACTTTAAACTATGCATAATGCAGTAAATATTTTTTCTTTTTTATAATTTGCAAAATTTGGAGGCAATATCCATGAATTGACATTCTGTATTTTCCCTTAAAAAAATTGCAGGTCTCTATGCTGTTTGCAGAGTGGTATCAGATATGTGAACTTCCTGGTGCAAATGATGCAGCTTGTACTCATTACATCATGCAATTGCATCAAAATGGACTGCTCAAAGGGGAAGATATGACAGAGCGCTTTTTCCGCATCCTGACAGTAACTTTTTCCTTACTTTTGGCCTATATACAACAAGAGGAAGAGTTGAAACTCATATTTTAACCCTTTTTTTTTCTTTTTTCTTTTTTTCATTTTAGGAGGTCTCTGTTGCCCATTGCCTCTCTACCGAGGTTATTAATTCTGGCACATTACAATTGCCTCAGCAAGCACAGAGTCTATCGTTCCTTGCCATTGATATTTATGCAAAACTTGTGTTATCAATCTTTAAGGTCTATAGTTTTTCTCGAGTATCGTATCAAAGTGATCTACTTCATATTTTGAGTCTAAACTTTTCATGGCTCTAACTTGTTTGCGTATCATCTTTTAGTATTGCCCTGTCGAACAAGGACCTACTAAAATCCTCCTTCTGTCAAAGGTGAATGTCGTGCTGCTTCTATTTTTCCTACTTACAATTGCTTTCACCAACATTTGTTTAAATGATATATCTTGCATTGGCAGATTTTAGCTGTTACTGTGAGATTTATTCAAAAAGGCGCAGAGGAGAAGAAATCATCTTTCAATCCTAGGCCATATTTTAGATTATTTATTAACTGGCTGCTAGATCTTGGTTCCTTGGACCCAGTTACTGATGGTGCAAACTTTCAGGTACACATTTCTATCTGCCTAGTCATCGTTCTGTCCATTGATTAACTAATGTGCGTGGTCTGTGTTGCAGATTTTGACAGCCTTTGCAAATGCATTTCATGCACTGCAACCCCTTAAAGTTCCGGCCTTTAGGTTAGCATCGTGAACTTGTTTAATCTGTAGCCAATTGTCACACATGTTGAAACTATACTGGAGATGGCTGTTGTTTGCAATTATCATTTTTTCTTTCTTTCTTTCTTTCTTTGTTTTTTCTAAGTTCCTAGCTCTCACATCCCTATCCTTTCTTAATACAGTAATTTATAAACATTACCCCCTTAATAACTTTAAATGCCTTTTTAGCTTTGCATGGTTGGAGCTGGTCAGTCACCGAAGTTTCATGCCAAAATTGCTCACGGGTAATGCTCAGAAGGGTTGGCCTTATATACAACGCTTGCTGGTGGACTTGCTTCAGTTCCTGGAGCCGTTTTTGAGGAGTGCTGAATTAGGAGGGCCGGTATGCCTCTTTAAAGAACTCCTACTGGTATTTTGCCTCATTGAATGCTGTAATTATGACAACCTTTCTTTTTTCTGCGTTATGTGTGTAGGTTCATTTTCTTTATAAAGGCACACTCAGGGTGCTGTTGGTGCTACTTCATGATTTTCCTGAGTTCCTGTGTGATTATCATTTTACCTTCTGTGACGTCATTCCTCCAAGCTGCATACAGATGCGGAATATTATCCTAAGTGCATTTCCACGCAATATGAGGCTACCTGATCCATCTACTCCCAACTTGAAGGTTTCCATCAATCATCTCAATTTGTTTAAAGAGTTTTTAATCATGGAAACTAATCTAATGATCAATTGTATTCCAGATCGATTTGCTTCCCGAAATCAGAGAAGCGCCTCGCATACTATCTGAGGTTGATGCTGCACTTAAAGCAAAGCAGATGAAGAGTGATGTGGATGAGCATCTCAAGGTTGTTTCAACTTCACTTATGTCTGGTTATGTTGGCCTGATGAATTGCTCAGTATCAAATGGTTTATTTGTGTTTTCTGCTTCACACAAATCACACCACAATCCTTATTAATAATCTTTTATGTGTGAAATTTTCACTTCTACTCCATTCACACTAATGATCCATTTCATTCACCGTCTAATTTTTTTCTATTTAAATCTCTTCTAAATTCTGCTGATAAAAAAAAATGTTTTCTAAATTCTTTGCAGACAAGGCAACAGGGTTCATTTCTTACTGAACTAAAACAGAGATTGCTTCTTCCACCAAGTGACGTGGCCTCTGCTGGTACCCACTACAATGTACCATTAATCAACTCGCTTGTGCTTTATGTTGGAATGCAGGTACATGCTAGTTCCTTCTGCTATTGCTGTACCTCGATGCTCATTTTTCTGGTCTGGAAGCAAAACTCTTACTAGTTTCTGTCCAAGATGTGTAACATACTGGTTTTGCTTGGGTGTTTGTTATTTGCTATACCATGTTATGTATATAAACTTAGAATGATTCGAATCTCTCATAATATAACCTCTTTCTATATGTGTATTATTTAGAATATAGTTGTTTAAAGATATTTTCTTGGGTATCTGTTTATAGGCCATTCAGCAGCTGCAGGCAAGACCACCTCATGCACAGTCAGCAGGCAACACTGTTCCCTTGGCTGCATTCTTGGTTAGTGCTGCATTGGACATTTTCCAGAAACTAATAGCCGATCTTGACACTGAGGGGCGATACCTCTTTCTCAATGCAATTGCCAACCAACTTCGCTATCCAAATAACCACACACATTACTACTCCTTCATCCTACTTTACCTATTTGCTGATTCAGAGAACAAGGTGAGAGAGAGCTTTGGGTTCATTGTATTGAATTCCACAATATTCACGATGTTTCTGCTGTTCATTTCAACTAATGAGGAATACACTGGCTTTTTCCAGGAAATTATCCAGGAGCAAATTACCAGAGTATTGTTGGAACGACTTATTGTCAATAAACCTCATCCATGGGGTCTTCTCATCACTTTCATTGAGCTCATAAAGGTAAAGTTCATGGCATCTTATGAATTTAATATCAAGTATCGGAATGTCATAACATATTAATATTTTTTTTACCATTGCAGAATCCTAGGTACAACTTCTGGAACCGATCATTCATAAGGTGCGCGCCTGAGATTGAAAAACTCTTTGAATCAGTTGCAAGATCGTGCGGAGGACTGAAACCTGTGGATGAGAGTATCGTCTCTAGTTGGGCATCTGATAACACTCATTAAAGAGTTGTTGCTGTATCTTATATGTTAGTATTTAATGTGTATTTAACTATTTATTCAAATTCCATCCCAGCCCCATTTATTTTCCCCTGACAACGGTCACAAGTATTTATTGGTTCTGTAAATGTTTCAAAGCCACCAGATATCTTACCTGCGGATGGAGCTATAATATGACGTATGGTCGATTTTTATTGTTCTTTTTTTTTTTCAAATTGAATTTACTGTACTATTTGTTTTCTTGCACTCTTAAAGATTATCTTGGTTTAAGGAGGATGTAAATAAGACAATTGTAATTTATTTTCTTGTAAGATGGTTAAACTAGAGTTGGTCGTGAAACGAGTTAGCCACTGGTTCCGCCCCCAACCCAAACCACATCCACCCACTCCCCCTCTCTCCAAAAAAATAAACTTTCAGGTGTTTATGTGCTACCATTTTTGCCCTCTGCCATTTGGTTTTTATTTATGCCTAGTGTCTCATGATAGATTTATGGGCTGCAGTCAATTGGCGCCCCAATACATCTGACATTTGGGCTTAAAACTTTATATGGTAAAGGAACCAGCCTATCCAAAGTGTTCAAAGAAATTGTAGGATCCGAGTTCGATTGGGGCTAAATAATGTCTCGTTAGGCTTTGGCCGCGGTGAATAATTAGGGGCGAGCTTTGGGATAATGGGCCTAGAAACGGGCTAGAAAATTTTAGGCCCAAAAAAATTTCTTTTCAACTTTATGTAGCCATGGCTTCTCGGTATCTTGGGTAACAGAATAAGCAACGTCCCTAAGGTATACCACAACAGGAGTGCTCAAATTTTAATTTAGATAAATTAGCCTGATTTGGCCCATATGACGAAAACAAATGACCACCGAATAATGGAGAACTAGGAAAGAAACAACAGGTCTCCTCCATTTTCTAACGTGAAAGTCCACCAGCTCTGCCCTGGGCATACAAAAATGTAACAGTAAAATGTTTTCTCAAATAAGAATTTCAAAAGAGGTTCACAGAAAATCAAAGAACTCGAAAACACAGGAACAGGAATTTGAAATATTTTAATGATAACTATCCTAAGTTCTCTAAAATAGATCTACCACGACCATCTCAGCTCTCAGCCATTGTAACGATTCTTGGACACCAACTCAAAATAAAGAACTCAACAGAGTGAACCTTGTTTTCTGTAGTCAATTCACTTTCAAGCCTCTCTACGGACGAAATAGAGCTTTCCCATAACATGAAGAACGGCAACAAATGCTATGAAACCAATGCTCATGACAAGCACTACATTTGGAGAGATTTTGAGTCCTGGACTATCATCTGTGTAGAACTGGAGCATGGTCCCTGCTGCTCCTGCTGAGGCACCACTACTTGCGGTTCTTCTCCTACGCATGCTTGCAGCTGCTGCTGCACTTCCTCTTGGGGGAGCTGTTCCAGTAGCCATTCTGCATCCACCATCAAAGATTAACACATTTAGATAATGGATCAAACTGAGGCATAACAAGTCATTCTCCACACCAACACCATCACCCTCCCTCTTCTATATCTAATTTTCAGGTGATTGCTATGAAATCTTATTATAGTGCAAACAGAATACAAAACACCGTGTACAATGAAAAACTCCAATGATATTTTCTCTAAACGAAGAGACAACTTCAAACACACATATAAGCTGTTCCCAATTACAATTATTCATGGTCTTACCCAGCCAGTTCCTCCTTGTAAAATTAAAACATTCAAAACCACTTAACAATACACAAGAATTAATTATGTTATGGCAAAAAAAAAAGAAAAAAAAAAGACATGTATAATCAGACTGCATGATAAGTAATGACCGAAATATTGAAATATTATTGGCAATTTGGCGTACAAATTCTCTATTCTTATAATTGTGCTAAAATTCCTTCAGATACTAAATATGCATAAATCTGAACTATATATGTTAAAAGAACAACAATTAACGAGAACCAGAAATGTTACTCTCGATCTAATTATAGTAAAATTGAAGGTGTAGGTGTACGGTTCATGTACGCAATATATCCAAACTTGTTCAATCAAAAGCAAGAATAAACCAGAGTCAATCATCGAATTCCCGGCGGTGAAAACATAGCTATAGAAGAAAAGAAAGCAACGGAAAGACTCATTCAAAGCGAATTTCGACAGCCTAATCTCGAAGATCTTAAATAACCATAGATCTGATAATTAAATCTAGAAAAACCAGATCTAGAACTTATAATTGCATATATAACGCATTAACCCAATGATCTATTCTAATAAGATACCGATAGGAAAATCGATGACGACGTAAACAGGGGAGAATTGAAAGAAGAACTCACCTGAATCAAATCGGAGCTGGAGACGGCCGGCCGGATTAATATCTTTTGACTTGTTTCTCAGAATGAAATCTGTGATTTCTGTTTCTATAAAAACCAGTATTTAAAGTTCACGCGTGAGGACTCTTCCACGCAATAACTACCAATCACCTTCGGCCACGTCATCTCCACTTGCATGGAGGTTAGGAACCCAATTTGACTGCGGGCTGGATCACGGGAGGCCCGTGAACGGCCTTCTTGGAAAAAAGAAGAAAAGGCCGTGAAATACATGGATAGCCATGGTGGGCCGATGATTTCCTGCTCAGTCCAACTAACAATGTCTCTCTGGAATCTAATTTTTTTTTTTGAACAGTTTTTACAAGGGCTTGGGTCGAACCCAGGCGAGGGGGTGGGGGGAAGTGCACCTGAAGTGGCTATTGCCACTTGGCCGAAGGGCTCGATGTCTCTGAAATTTAATTTTTCTTTTTTAAATTATTAAAATTTAATATATAGTATAGAAAGAAATAAACAAAATTAATATACATGGGGATGAGTAATGATTTGATTTGATGTCATATTCTTACTATAGAATCCAAAAGATGGACCTAAAAAGAAGAAAAATGTATGCTTCACTGTGAACCAGAATGTCAGACACTCAGGTGTCAGCAGTGGCCAAGAATTTGAAACTGCAACAACCGGATTATAGCCTCAAATTAGATGCATAAACATTTCAATAAACCATATTAATATTGGGAAAACAGTAAAAATTTCTTTAAATGCACTAAGCCAATCAGATGGTGCACCCCTAAGATCTTCTAAAAAGATATTACTCTCAATATATGTAAAAGTTAGTCTGGATACATTTTGACTGTCCAAACCAAAAACAGTAAAAATATGAAGCAAAGCAAAGAATACTTTGCAACTCTGCAATGACAACAACATTATGAAGAGCAGTCTCATTCAGAAAGATACATACAAGCAGAAAATAACAAATAACTATAGTACAGAAGAAATTTGCAAGAAATTTGCAAATTTGATTACCTTGACATGCTGTAAACCATGAGTTAAAAAATGAGGTCTAAACTACATTATTGCTTGCTTTTACACTAATTAACAAGTCAGGATGAAATTTATGATATCTAACCTCAATCAAATGCTAGAGAGATACTACCGCTAAAATACATTGGTAAATTATTGTCGCCTAGGTTGACTAGAAACCCGACATACAAGGAGATGGAGTGGAGCAGAGTCAGAATTCTTTGTATGTTGGTTATTTTCAGCTGGCATGAATCGTACAAGTCCTCTGTTATTTTCATGCTAAAAGTCTGAGCTAAATAATTCAGTTAGCACAGAGTTTGCAGAGTATGTCATGTTATGTAAACCTTTTGCAGCTTCCATACAAGTCATATGCAATGCCAGACATCATCAGCCAACAATATTCAACCCTTTGACCTCTTGAAGAACCTATCACCTTTCTTTCCCAATCCAGTGTCTCCAAGATTTGATAAGAGGAGCGATCTGGTATCTGGTCGCCATTTCAACTCCTTGAGAACAGAAAACAAAAACCCTAGTTCAGAGGTGACTTCTACATCCTTAATGTTGTTACATGATACCACTCTTAATCTCTGAAGCTCCTTCCAAGAAAGAACTACTGACTCCAAACCTTTTGTTGTCAATAATGAGCATCCTTCCAAAGAAAGTAGATCCACTCGCCTGTGTAGAGGAAAACAACAAATTAGAAACCACTACATTATCAAGATGCTAGAAGACAGGATACTGAAGATGCAGCAATACTGTGAAAACAAACCCTTGTTCAACCTAAAAACATGAAAAATACAGAAACAAGGGTGCAAAGTAAAACTTACTTAAAGGGAAGAAATGAGCATAAGAGATAAGACCAATAAAATTGCACAATTTAACAATCAAGACACAGAATGTTTTTGCTAGTAGTCTTGAAACAAACCCATTTTTTTTGTTAGCACAAAGTACCTTGAACAAAGTCTAAATAGGATATTCTCATGTCATAGATTAAGGGAGTTCTATTTTGTATATTCTATGGTAGGTTAGGTTCTTTTGAAATATCCGTCCTATGTGGATCAACATCAAATTTCATTAGCAAAGTAAAGAACAATAACAATAATCACAAATTTCCTTACCTACAAATGCTGGCTAGGCCAAATGCTTCATCATCCAAACCCCAACAATCCTGCAAAATAATCTCCTTGACGTTCTCACAGACCAAAAACAATGCTTTCAAGCTCTGCTTATCTCGTATTTGACACCGCTGTAAATGTAGCTCTTCAAGAGTGAAACAAGACCCTAAATGCTCATCTAATCCGGGACTCTTATCAATAGTCTTACAAGACTTGAGCATCAGAGTCTTCAAATTCCCACAAAACGAAAGTGCTGCCAACCACCCTCCATCCATCCTATGATCACAGATACTCAATTCTTCAAGCATTTGACAGCACTGTCCAATTGCCTTAATCCCATCATAACTCCCTTCACATCCACATAGCTCAAGCTTCACAAGCCGCCGGCAACCATGCGCCAATAACGTTAACCCAATATCGGAAACCACTGAATTGTAGAACCCATCAACACACCCAATCAACTTTACCACCTGCAAATTTCTGCACCCAGAAATACCCTTCAAAGACAAATCCCCACAACAATGCAATTCCAGTTCTTGCAATGTCTGACACTGCTCAGCTATACTCGACAACCCATCTTCACTGGCCCCAATCACCAAAATCCTCCTCAAATTCGGGTACTTGTCAGCTATCATTTTGAGCCCATAATCAACCAAATTAGACGGTAACAGCGCCTTTTCTTCCACTAACCCATTTGAAGTAAAATCGGTATCAACATAAACAGACAAGGAATTGCGGGTGACAAAAATCCCGGAGTTCCTCGGCATCCGAATACACGACCGAATTATGTCAATCTCAGCGAGATTAGGGAATCGCTGAAAAACCCGACCGGAACTGAGAAACGACCAATCCGTGAGCTTGAGGGACTGCACCAAACGGCCGTGAACCCTCAACCACCTCTTGCACACCAAGGAATTAGAGACGTGCTGCGAGATAGGAAGCTTGGAGAAGATTCCAAGAAGGAGCTCGTCGGAGAGAAGGGAAGTGTAATCAGGGGAGGGAGAGTCCAGCGAAAAGGGCGAGAAATCAGACTCGGACCGAGGAGATGGGGACGGCGTAGAAGACAGAGAAGGGTGATGCTGCTGCTGCATCCTGACAATAACATGCTTCAGAGCTTGTTCCTCGTATAAGACGTCCGGCGAGCTAACTGCCCTTGTTCTATGATTATTTGTTTGCGGTGACCTCAAAACTTTTGTGGTCTGGTCAGAAGTGGGGCTGCGGTTAGGGTTAGGGTTTCTATTTGGTGAATTTGACATTTTGTCTGGATTTGGGGATTTTTTTTTTGTTTTCACTCGGTGATAAGAAATTGAAAATTTTTTTAAACCATTTTTTCTGCTGCTTTCTTCGGTAAATTCAGCCATTATTAGTTGGAAATTGGGAATTGATTTAAGAAACGTGTTTTGTGCTTTGGGTTCTGTTGCGTTGTAATATATAGATAAGTTAAATTATATTAAATTATAAAATAAAAATAAATTAATTAATTTTTTAATTTTAAAAAATTTAACTTTTATTTAATAATTAATATTATACCATTTAAAATAATTAACTACACAACACATTTTACAATTAGGAATCTCTAAGTTGTACACTGTATAAAGCAATTCCATTTGTTTCATTTCGCAATTTTTTTTTTTTTGATAATGATATAAAAATAAGTTTGTTATATTA